TAGAGAATATGAAAGCATCAACGAAATAACTCCTGGAACTAATAGCAATTATTCATATATTCAATAATCATAGCAAGGTTGCAGGATATAAGGTTAATACCCAAAAGTCAATTGCTTTCCTATATATACCAGCAATGAACAAGTGGAATTTGAAATTGAAAATACAATACCATTTCTATTAGCAACCTCCAAAATAAAATACTTAGGTATAAATCTAACAAAATATATATAAGATCTACATGAGTAAAACTATAAAACTCAGATAAAAAAATGATAACTAGAGAGTCATTCCAATGCCTGGATCGAACGGCTCAATATTGTTAAGATGTCAGTTCTTCCCAACTTGGTCCATAGATTTACTGCAATCCCAATCAAAATTTCAGCAAGTTATTTTGTGGATATTGACAACGTGATTCTAAAGTTTACATGGAGAAGCAAAAGACCCAGAATAGCTAACACAATATTAAAGAAGAATGAAGTTGGTGGACTGACACTACCTGACTTCAATACTTACAACAAAGCTAGACTAATCACGACCATGTGGTATTGGTGAAAGTGTTACTGTCCTCCTAGTGGAAGTCCTTTCAGGTTATTAGTGATTATGGGAAGAAAAGAGTTTCAGAACATACCACAGAAGCCAAAGCAAGCAGCTTTTATTGAAAGAGCAAGTGAAAGTATGCTCGAGAGAGAGTGAGCAGGTTCCAAAAGAGTAGCTGCCCTGAAAGGAAGGAGTTTTTGGTCTTTTGAAGTCTCACTAATTGAGGTGAGGAATATTCCAGGTTAAGGGGTTGGTTTTTACTAAAAATTGGGTAGTAATTCCTAGAATTGGGTTTCCTCCCATTTTTATACTTTATAGAGTTGTTTTGGAACTGTCATGGCAACTTCAAGGGTGTAGAAATTTTAAAACCACAATGCCAGTGATATTGTAGTTAGCCAAAATTCATGTAAGGTGACCTGGATAGCTGGCAAGCCAGCTGAAGCCAGTTCTTGTCTGGTTTTCAGCTCCCCTTAGTTATACTTTAACACCTGCACCCACCCTGAAAGCCCCCACAAGCCCTGTCTGCTATTCTTCTACTGTAACAAAAGAATAGAAAAACAGATCAATAGAAATAGAATAGAGAGCCCAGAAATAGAACCACAAAAATATAGTCAAGTGATTTTTGACAAAAGAGTAAAGGCAATACAATGGAGCAAAAATAATTTTTTCAATAAATGGAGCTAGAACAATTGGCCATCCACGTGCAAGAAAAAAAAGAAGAAGAATCTAGACATAGACTTCTGTGGTTTGAATGTTCCCCGTAGAATTCATGTGTTGAAACTTAATCACCTAGATGACAGTGTTGGAAGGTGGGGACTAATGGGAAGTGTTCAGGTCATGAGGGCTCTTCCCTGATAAATAGATTAATGCTGATTATAAAATGGGCTCAAAGGACTAGGTTTGCTCTCTTGCACTCTCTGACCTCCTTCTGTGTGATGCCTTCTGCCATTTGACTATACAGCAAGAAGATTCTCACAAGATGACAATGCCTTGATCTTGAACTTCCCTGCCTCTGGATCTGTGAGCAATAAATTTCTCTGTTTTATAAATTACTCAATCTCAAGTATTCTGTTATAGCAGCACAAAACATACTAAGACACAGACTTTATGCCCTTCT